AGTTGAATATTTGCAGGAACTTACATGCTTCAACACAACTCTAGAATATTTCGAGACGACTTTGATGGGCATAATGAGGAATTATGTTGCATCCCAGGTACGATTGAACTCTTTGCGTTTCACACTGTTCAGATCATCGATTTTATTGAATTACAAAAAAGGAACATGCAAATCATTTTCATGATTTACAATTTTACAAAAAAAGATTAAGCCATTAAATTGTTTGTGAGCGAAAGAACATTTTGAACAACTCTTTAAAACCCCTCATCTCTCAGTTTAGGCCAGGAATCGTAAGCGTCTTGGAAGTTTTAAGATATTCGTTATTGTGCTCGGAGAAATCCAGACAGCTCAGATGCCGTCATTTTAGAAATCTGGTGCCCAAAAATGCTTACAGTTCGAGTTTTGCAAAATCGAAGAGTATAAGTCATGTCAAATTTAGTCGCATTAGCCTCAATATTCGTCCTCATGCTGTCATGCTGTAATTTCCGAAACCATAATTTTCAAAACAAATGTGGTTACTGACTTCAAACATCTGCTAGAAGTACGATAACGTTAAAGAATGAATTCATAATAAATTTTGATCTATGTAAACAATTTTTCAGCTAAATCTCGCTCAACGCTCTCCCAATCGTGTTCCTCTGTCGAGAGAGCAGATGATTACTTCAACACTTGGTGTGATGAGACAAGTTAGTACAATTATCCTCATTCAAAGAAAAGAATTTGATACTAGATTTTTATTCTTTTATGATATTTTTTTTTACCTTGGAAAAGAACTTAGTAAATGGTTTGGACTGCTCAAAAAAATTTAGGTCCAACCTCTCAACATCGAGGATGAAGAGGGCTTGCTAAGCGTCGACCAAGCAAGGCCTATAGTCGAAGCTCTTGTGGACAATGTTCTCGTTCGTAATTTAGTAAATCTGTATTCAATTATACAAAAATATGTCGCGTATCTATAATTTATGATACAGTCTAGCGCTCCTGGAATGTACAACACTTCCTGTCCTGAGGGTTGCGAACGCTCAGAGTCGCCATGGATTTGGTTGTTTCTGGTATCCGCACTCGCCAATGTCCTGTTAATTTTTATGACGATTGCATTTATGATGCATAGGTAATGGTTATTTAGTTACTTGTCTATGTAATCTTTATAAAATAGAAATTTTACAGTTACTTCAAAACTAAGCGAATGCTTCGTGAGGTAACGGGCGTGCCGTCAATCTCGAAGGAAATCAAGCAACATTGAAATTATTCGAACCTATGAAATAGCTTTATATAAAGCATATGATTTTTCGGACTTTGTCTGTTATGCAAGAAACACTGAAAGATGAACTTACGACACATACTAAATTGAACTAGTATGGGATACCTACTCAAGATCCGAAGACGAGATGCATACCACTAAAAGCGTCTTTGAACGCTAAAAATTAGCTTTCCTTTGCAGAACAACCCTGTTTATGGGCGTTTGACAAGCTTTAATTTGCATAAATTTAGCGAAAAGCTGTACAAAAAACCTAAAAGTAAGTAACCAATTTTTCTCAGGTATATTGACACAAGGTGGGAAAGTCGGTGGAATTCCGCATAGGGGGGTTTTTTGTAGATTTTTTCGCTAACTTTATTCTAACTGAAGCTCAACAAATTCAAACATTCTAACGCTCATATCTTCTTTTGTAGAGTCGCACCGCTAAAAGGAAAGCAGATTTGAAGCTAGCCAAAGACAAGTCCAGCTAAACGCATTTCGTCTTTAATCGCCAACCTAAATTGGTATCTTTCCCTCGTAAGTGGTGCTGGAGTCATCAGTTCGTCTGGGGAGTGTTTCAATATTTATCAGTCATAAAATCATAAATAAGCAATCAGAACCGGGGTTCTAAAACAGTTTTTGTTAGTTTCAATGGTCTATCCACTTGATATCACAGAACTTCCTTCGATGTCAGAAAAACCAACATCGTGCACTAGGGAAAGCTCATATGAAGAAATTAGAGTTGCAGAACAGCGAATAGACGAAAAAGAAATTTATCGTGCACCAGGTAAGGCCATACTGCCGTCATGAAGAAATTGGACTGATGAACAGCGGATAGATATCAAATTTGTTTTCCATTAACATTATTTCTGCTCCTCCAGAAAGCAATGGAGCAGTTATCGTTGCCGAAAATGCAGTAAGACGTGCAAATGCAGCAATCTCTCGCAAAGCAGATGTTTCCAATATTACTAAAATGCTAGTCTCTTCAAAGTCAGCAAACAAACGTGCTTTCAGTCAATCAACTTATGGTTTTCAAAGAAGCAAGATATGCAGTTACTTTGGAGTTACCATACATCAAATTTCCAGTCAAAAACTTCTTTGAGGCTGGCTTCTAGATAAAGCTAAGCCTGCAATTATCATCGATGTTCAGCATTAATTGTTTGTGGTCTAAAATTTCATGCGATTTATACTATGATTGGATAAGTTTTAACTGACTAACCATACTATCAAGTCGAGAATCTTCAATGTTGTTTGTACACTAAGTACTGAGAACAAATGTGGAAGTAAATTTGCAGATGAGCAAGTCACAAATATGCGCAAATGTAAGACATAACTCAGGACTAATTTCCTTACGATCGGACCGCTGTTTCTCAAGCTTCTCTCAACCAAAACAAGATTGTATTTTTTTACTTCTAATTTTGATTTTATTCGGTTCGTGTCCACTAATTGAAATCTAATCTACCGGAGCGAAACAAATGTCAGATGCAACTGATTATATCCAGTCAAAGCTTCTCATAATCATTACAAAGTTGAAGGAGATAAACTGCCTGACCAATAAATAAACATTCACTACTTTTTACTCCAGGTAGTTAGGATCCCTGTTCCTTGTGCATTTGCAAAGTTGCAAAGTTTTTTACCGCATACTCTCCCCCCTCC